TGTATATACCTATATTATAAGAAGAAAAGGATAATGCTAAATGGCAATGTATTGGTCTAGTGTAAGATACATACTTGTTATGTAATAATAATATAACAGTAATTATATATATTGTACTTTAACATATACAATGGCTCGACATGTCTTTGTAAAGATTCTTTCTCTGAATTTTATATGTTGACTATCATCTAAAACATAAATCACAACGTCTATATGTTTGCTAAAGATACTTGCTTAGGGCTCAAAAAGAGAAATGAAACGTAACACGGTGGAACTGTGTTGTCATCTTGATAAAAGTTTTAGTATTAAAACAAAAACAGTGCCATATATCAATATACATCGTCCTACACGTGCAAAATATTTTCGCAAATTACATTCGCTAAAATGAGATTAGGTTTGTACTAGTTTGGGAGAAAGAGATGCGCAATCTCGAAGATGATATTTTTGATAAGACAGCATATATCATATTATTTATTTAAAACTCATTATGTACTTATTGTTCAAGCAGTTGGAGAATAACCTGGTTTTCAAAATACAGTCCAAACTTATCTTCACATGTGTCACAGACTTTTACATCACTAGAAGGCAAGTTAAATATTATCGTGGACGGTATCTGAAGAGCTAAAGAAAAACATATTTCGTAATATCAATCACGTTTTATCAATAATACACATAATTAATTAAATATAAAACTTATCATCATAATTAAAACAATTGTAAATATCAAATTAAAAAAAGATACGTAGCTTATTTAAATGCTAAATGCACGAGTAACTTCATTAGTTTATTTTTCGTAAATTGACTTCCGTAAATAGTTAACATATTAATTGTTTGATAAGATCGACAGGTTGGCATGATGATAACGATCGAGTGTCGATAACAGCGCAGAAAGGAGATTCATTATATTTCACGTGTCACAGGTATTGGTCATTATTTATTTAAGACTGAAGAATATTTTGCCATTGCGATAATAATTGGAGGTTTTCTCCGCGATTAAGTCGTCACTTCGTTGCAACTGCCTTTTACAATTATACGCAATGATAAATGCCACAAAAATTGTCATCTGATTACGTAGAGAATACATATAGATCTGAAAATTGTAGACTGTGTTATCTATTTTTGCTATACATATAACAATAAAAATGCAAAAAAGAGTTAACGTCACACGGTATTCCCAAGCGGTCACCCATCCAAGTACTAACCGTGCCCAACATCGCTTGACTTCAGTGATCGGACGAGAACTGGTACTTTACGATGCGGTATGGATGTTAACGATTAAATGCATCGTATTGGTGGAGTCTTAAGGCTGCACAACTATGATATATCTAAAATTTTATTTTTATTAGAGGAACTCTAGCGGATTACCTACATCTACTTTTATTAATCTACAGCTGTAAATTAATTATAATCTTAGTTTAACTTATTTTTTCTGGATATTAAAAGAGGAAAAGTAAGTTAAACTGAGATTCAAGTTAATCTACATTGATCGAATATATAGAAATAGACATTAGACTATACAAACAATTAGAAAATTTGCTTTAAATAATTAATTAACTCGATTTTTTAAAAATTATTAAATCTATAGCGTGTATTTAATAAGGAATACAATTTATCTATATTTTCATCAAAGAAAATATCGGCGGAAAGTTAAGTCAATCAAAATTTTATTCTACTCGAAACAGAAGATTTGAAAAAACAAATTATTATTATTTATATTTACTAATTTATTGTTATACTATATCTATATTTTATAATTGTATCATTTAACAAACCGTGATAAATAGAAGAAATTTTCAGATACAGGGGTACGAATAGAGAGAAACTTGAGAGAAGCTACTATATGGCCCGATTGTATCATCCTCTAATAAAAATAAAATTGTTGATATAACATAGATCTACCTTAAGAATCCACGAATAAGCTACAACCCTGGTAGAAATTTACGTTAGGCTGCCTGAGGACTAAACTGAGGTTGGGTAAGTCTGAGAAAGGCAACCGACCCTGATCAGGTTGACGTCAGGCGTACCCAGGAGCAATTTTCGTTAACAATTATTTAAATATTTTAAATAACCCGCGCGTTAACGTCCACATCACATCGTAAAGTACCAGTTCGCGTCCGATCACTGAAGTGAAACGAAGTTGGGCACGGTTAGTACTTGGATGGGTAACCGCTTGGGAATACCGTGTGATGTTAACTTTTTGCTTTTTTATTATGTTGCAAAAATAAATAATATTCAATAATTTTCAGATCTATACGTATTCATGTTTTTTATCTTTTGTATTATATGAATATCACTTTCCTTTGTATAGAGTACTTTTTGTCGAGAAATTGACAGCGCAGTGACATTGACGAAAATTTACTTAAGCTACCAGACTTGAAGTATTTCATAATTTATTAACTCTCTCATAGCGCAACTGATTAATAAATCAATATATAATTAGGTACACGACTTATTTCATTTATACTAAATATATCTTATATATGGATATAAAAATATGCATATATATATATATATGTATGTGTGTCTGTGTGTGTGTATATACATATGTGCGTCTCACGTATTTTATTAAAATCTTATTAAAATCTTAAATAATAAATTAACAAAAATAGCGTAACAATAACGATAATTAAATAACAAACGCAAAATAATGTACAATTAAAGAAATATGAAAGCGTGAGATATATGTGGAGAAACAGACGAGAAGGGACAGAACGACGATTAACATGATTACTGACAATAATTAAAATAATTATTATAGCGATAATAATATAGAATAACTGTATGTGTAATAATAATATAATGCTCTAATAAATGTTAATGGTAATTAAAATAAATTACTATTTGCGAGGCGGTACAAGCAGAAAAATATTAATTATCGAATATAATAATTATTTTAAATCATATTATTTCAATTAAAAATGCTAATGCTTCGGAAACTGTGTTAAATCTTCTCGTATCATTTTAATATTTTTGTTTTCTCTTAAATCGCTTTTCCTATTCTTTGCCCTCGTGCTCTCAAGATTACTCCTCAAGATTATCTCGCACCACCTCACATCATGAAATATAATGATATGTCGAAAACAATGAAGTAACGCGCATAATGATTAATAACACTAAAAGTCGTTCAGTATATTTAGAAGAAGAAGAAGAAATAAAAATGCAATTTTCAATGTATAATGTGTATGTTTTATGCAGAATGCACACTTCACATTTCTCTCTACATGTAAATAACAGTAGAATCGTGAACCTTACAGTTGAAATGTAAAGTTAGAACCTTTTGCAAAAGGAATCTAAATCGAACAACACAAAAGTGCATATTTCTCGACGTCAAGCTTGTAAACAGTACGCCTTTAAACACAAAAAATTTATAAATAACTTCAGTCTTCTTCTTCATCGATTATCTTTGATACGTTCAAGTTATACACGTGAATTGTTCGAACTTCGCACTGGCATTTTTCTTAATATAATATAATAACTTCTTATTAATGTCAATTCACGAGATCTTACTTTCTAAACCAGTCGTTAAATAATTGGCGATGTATGACACTTTTTCAAGACAATTTCTATTGATGATTGAGAGTTAATGATGATCTTTTAATATAACAAAAATATTATTGAGCTTTGCATACGATAATTTTTATCGCTGCATACTGTTCAGTAATTCAAATATAAAAGAGGTGAAAATCTCATACTTTAAATATGATTAAACAAACAGAACACTGAATACTGAATAGTCTGTCAAATTAGTTACCTACCTATCTAAAATAATTTTTGTAGACAAATGATGTAACTTGATTAAATAAAAACGACAGAAAAGTTCTATGAAATGTAAGATGATTAACAAAAATTTTAACTAACGAAACTGGGCTCCGCGCGTGTTCGCGCCTAGAGCAAGAGTCGAGAAACAATCCAATTACCTATCTTAACGACCTAGTAATGTCAGTAAAGCTCTATTGGCATCGGAGATCGAATACTCTCTACTCGTATCTAATCTTTCCTACATAAGTAAAGCTTCGTTGGAGTCAAAAGCCTCTTTTTAGCCGCTGGTCCTCGCTATGTGTAACATTAATAAAAACTACACCGACATGTAAAATGCTTGTCTCATTCGCAACTGCCATCAAGCGTTAACATATCGAACCGTTTCTTCAAAATTGCTTTCAGCTTGAGTCCAATCGGTCTCTCTGATCGCTGATGTTCCGAATAATCGGCGTAGTTTTCAGGAGCCCAGCCCGTGGTCGAATCGTGGACGAGAAATCGAAATCGTTCTCCGATTTCATCGATCCGACAGGATTCATATTCTATCTTATCGTCGCGTTTTTTATCCTACCGTCTCTCAAAACGGAAATTGAACGTATTCTCCGGAAGCGCCAGATTGCCGATGGGAACCTTGTAAATTTCATTCTTTACCGGCAATATATTGAAGTTCTTCAGCAAAGTGGCTATCGTTGAGAAACTGATATATTGGACCATTTTGTAGCCCATGCAAGATCTCCGGCCACCCCCAAACGGCAGGAAATGTTCTGGCTTCAACAGCTTGTCGTTCTGCACAAATCTCTGTGGTACGAACTCTTCAGGAGATGTCCACAACTCCTTGGACATATTTAGATCATAGTTGTTTAGGAATATAAACGTGTCCTTCTCTATCTTGTAGCCTAAAATAGAAGAATCGAATAAAGTCACAATTTTGATTGCATTAATAAAAAATGTATCATTATTTGTTTAAAATTAATAAAGTTTAATAAATACTCATCGACGTGGAAGTTTTACAAATTTTGCTCGCGATTTCGTAAATTTCTATAAATTCTAAAAGTTCTCAACAAACGAAGCAAGAACGCGACATCCTCTTTGATATCACAAGGACGAGAAAATTACTTACCGGCTACGGAGCTATCTTGGTTAGCGACGTGCGGCACGATCGGACTGGCAATCAGCCTGATCGCTTCGAGAATGATAGCTTCCGTATACGGCATATTTCCTCTGTTCTCCAGCCCGACGAACTTGCCCGGGAGCTCAATTCTGTCGATTTCCATCTGCGCTATTTTCTGTACGTGCGGTCGAGTAACCAGGTAGCCCAGGATCTTGACCAGGAGATTGCCGACCGCCGAATGACCGCCGACGATGTCTTCCAACGCGAACATCGCCATGTCCAACGTCATCTTGGGTTCAGCGTCGGTCTTGATGTGATTTATCAAGCAGTCCACGTAATCTTCCTCAGGTATGACCGACCTCCAGCTAGTTAGACGGTCTCCCATTATGTTCTTTTCCATGAACTTTCTGATCTCGTGACTCCAATTCGCCATCCTTGTCATGTTGCGCTGGTGCAGTGGCATCAGGAACGGCATAAAATCTGCGGCGTATCCTTGGTTCACCTCATAGAAAACCTTGTCGAAGTTCTCGATCATCTCGCGTAAGGGAGCATGGCCGAGAGCGAAGCTTCGCGAGCAGAAGTACTTGATGAATATGTTCGCGCACGTGTGCATGATCAGCGGTTTTGCGTGCAGGCCAACACCAGAGATGCCGGCCAGATAGTCAATCAGCCAGCCCACCTCGCCGCCGATGATCCCATTTAATTGATTGTATCGTGTAGTGAAGGCACGTGGGAAGGTATGCCCTCGTAACATCTCCCTTCGCGTCTTCTGAACATCCGACCAATTGCAGAATGCCAAAGCTATAAGTAAAAGGAAAAATTATTTAGTCGTTATTCCGCTTTAAAGAGAAACTTCAAGTTCTCACTTGACGTCGACATTGAATCTCATTAGAAATTCGCGCACTTTAATTTATTTCGCTGGAAAAATATGTTTGAAGAATACTCGAAATAATTACCCTTTTTCTCTTTCTTCTCTTTAAGACAATATCAAGTGATTTTCGTAGGTGCCATCAATTAGTTTTGCTTTCATCGCCTCGTGATTTATAATAACTCGCAACGGAAGCAGCTGACGTCGAGGCGCTGTGATGGTAAACGTACATACTCAACGAACGTATCGCGTCTCAAATTACCGAATCGAGAAAAGGACAATCAGCACGACTGGTGGCGACGCTGAACTTGGCCTTGTTACCGTCTCTACATGCGTAAAATTGCATTTTGAAACATCATCGTTTTCCAAGAGAAAAATTCACGCACACTCCCTTTCTGCCTCGCACACCGTCGCGCGCGCACCGCGTACACGGAAATGTAATGTGAACGCAGCTAGGCGACGCGTCAATTCTCGAGCGAACACGGCAGAAAATCGATTCGTCGTTCAGCACGCTTGATATGAAATCGAAGCAGAAGAAGAGACAGCAGCAGGAAGTGACCCGGTTTCTCGCCGCGCAGGGCGCCCGAGAATCTAAAGAGCGACACTCCATCCTCCCGCCGTCCGTTCTTCCGTGATAATCTGGCGAATATCGGGATAAACGAAGTGAAAATACACTTGAGGAAAATGTTTTAAGTTGAAATTTTCTACTAGCAAGTACTCTTTCGGTATTTCATACAGACAGAAGTGCATTATAAAAAGCAAACGATTGAATGAAACAGTTGGATGTATATAGCGAGAGATAAATTGGAATGCAAATGTTAAGAAAGATCAGTACAGAAAAACACATTGTTAATTTATAGGGCGTGACGGAAAAATCGGAGGACTAAGTAGCTAATAATAATATTCATTCTACAAACAAGAAACTTTATAGAGGTGACCGTATTAAGAGCCGGCGCCTGTGACGTGCGCGCGAAAATAAAATATTCCGCTGCGGCGCGTACGAACGTGCAATGGAAAGGGTTAATGCGATCGTCTTGGATCGCGAAGTACGGCGGCGGCGATTCTGATGGATCAGCCTTGATCCTATTTCCCGGCTGCCGGGTGAGCCAGGAACGTGAAAGTGGTACCGTGACCTTTTCCGCCTGCACTTGGTACCGCTTCTTACGCTGACCTTAGCACGAGTTTTGGCGCGGACGAGCGTGGAATATACGCGACAAGTAAATCATGTAACGCGCATAAGGTACGCGTGAGTATATGCGCGCATATGTGCACTCACGTGTCATGCGCGCGCGCATGACAAGGTCATTAGCATGCGATTTTTCGAGTAAACTCCCGAACAATGTGCCACCAAGTTGCAGGCTTTCGGCCGACGATACATCGATGATTCACGATCGATAAACAATAAATCACTGTCGGAATTCTGATCTCCCTGTCGGTCGTATGATGGGAAAACATGCTTGCAACGTGACCTAAACCGCTGAGAGAGTGATTCGTTGCGGTTGCGTGAGCGTAATCGATCTCTGTTTCGACGAGCGACCTAAGTGTTAACTGACCACGGGTCATCCCTATTCGTTGTATTAAATGTTCATATCGATATTCATAGGATAAAAAATCGCGGAAAACTGCTCCGTAATTTTTCAAGCCACAAATCCTTGCTGATATTAACATACTACAAGTTTAAAAAGTAAAACTAATTTTGTGCGAATAAACTTCCGGCGTAGAGCTTGCAAAAATAATTAAGTAGGCATAAAATACTTACAGTTCTCCTTGTTGCCGCAAAAGAGGAGATGATATCTAATGAAGTTTGGCCTGGAGTCGAAGTGATGGCCCTTGGTGATCAAGACTTCCTTGATGTTCTCCAATCCATTGACAACGACGCAAGGTACAGATCCCATCTTGAGCTTGATGACTTGACTGTTGTATGCCTTGACGAGGTCGCCGAAGGCTTTGTAAGGTACGTCATAGCGTCCCAAAATGTGAAGAGAGCCTAGAACTGGCCACGGCTTTGGTCCAGGTGGGTCTAGTAAGTCTTCGCCGTCATGTAATTTCTTCGGTTTTTTCTTCGATGTAACATAATCCATGATGATCAAGATCAAAGCCATGAGAACGATAGCGAGCAGGAAGTACGTCGTGGCGCTGATAAAAATCATCCTTCGGCACAATCACAAATTTCTTCACTAAAGCGAATCTTCTGCCGTCTCCTCTTTTTTTCTTCCGCTCCTCTCACCCCTTTTTTCTGATGATTCGGAAGAGTGTCCCCGATGTCTCTTGTTCCGGTGGATATATTTTGCTTTCGAGATGTGTACCGACTTTGAGTTATCTGATTCCAAAACTTTGATTTATGCCCTTTCCGCGCGATGTAGACTCTTTCTTAAATTGAAGCACGCGTTGATCTCGATAATCGGGCTGCTTCTGCCGATATCTTCGATAAGACGATTCTTCGAACTCCTGGTAGTCTCTCGCTCACTTGGCCAGAAATGTCAACAATAGCCGGCTCTTCCACAAGGTAATATCAGACGTGATGTCTTCACCGCGAATGAGTATCAGCCGATCGGGACGCAAGCTCCTTGTGGCCCGTCTGTGAACGGTCCGCCGATCTGACTCGGTCTGTGGGGATAGGATGGTTGTCCGGCTATCTTATATAGCCGGGCGTAATGTAGTCAGCACATTTGCGTCGAGCACTGTGCGCCTCAACCCCATACATATGGATTCGTGTTGAGACGAGATGGGCAACAGGAGAAGGAAGGGAAGAAGGAGGAGGAGGTGGTGGTAGCGATAGAGGTGGAGAAAGACGAGAAAGAGGAGGAGGAGGTGGTGGACACTCTCGTATGGATAAGAGTGTACCCCTCTGCCTCTGCTTAAACAGAGACAAATTTCAAGAAAACTTGAAGGGACATACTCACTCGCGTATGGGTTGGTAAGATCCGCAGTCCGCGGAGCTGTGAGAGAAGAGCCGGAGGGAAGCGGACACGGCGACGGAGGGATGATCGTGGGACCGCCGGGGAAAGGGGGAGAGGAAAAGGGTCCCGGAGGCGGTGGAGCAAAGAGTAAACCTACGTAGTGGTAGGGACGGGTGCTAGAGGAGAAGGTGGGGAGAGGAATCGCCAGTAGGGTCCGCGGCCTCCTGGGCCCAAGCCGTGCAAACGAAGGGACGCTTCTTGCCCTTGACTTCTCTCCTTAAGGTGCCATCGAGTTTTCTGGCAGCCAAGATGGTAGTGTGCGAGCGTATGCTATGCGTACTCGCAGCTGCGCCGGGACCGACTCGGTCGCCGGTACCACCCGACGTACTCGCGTCCGAGACGAATGTCGAAGTCGGTGATCAATGGTAATTCGCTTTTGGTACATCATACGGGGTACGTGGATGGAGAACGAAGCTACCTTTTTCACGTAATGGCCAACTGGCCGGTTCGACACAGCGTTTTCGAGCTCTGTAAGAAGCCATGCGAGAGCGGAATTGCACAACAACAAGGTGGATGGTTTCCCTGTACGTTGAGAAAAAGAATGAAAGAGATTCACAACTTTTCGGTTTTATCATTAGGTATTTATTATTTTAATTATTCGTCTATTTTTTCTGAAGATCGAATAAATTATTTATCACTATAATTTTTAACGGAGAACACGTATTGTGCCATAATAAAAAAGCAAAATAGGCAGTACCTCGCATTTAAAAGACTTCAGTATCCGTTTTAACATTGTAAAGGAATAAATGCTTTACTATGCCCATGTGAAGCGATCATCTTTTTTTTTGCGAAATTTTTCCTCCGCGTTGTCACATTTTGAAGCGGCAGACTTTGTTTACGTCTGGAACAACTTTTCTCATCGAGAAAAATCGATCGGATCTTGAATCCGAAATCCACCTCAGAAGGATGCTGAATGGCGTTATGTAACCGTGAGACAACTATGCGAACGCGTTTTGTTCGTCGAGAAGGAAGTGAAATATACAATTCTAATGATGTCTTCTTTTCCTTTCATCCATATTAATTTAGTTTACAACCGTAAGCATTATTTACACGGAAAACAAGCTGGTTTTGTCGGCCGTCAAATTTTCCTCGGAATAATGGAAGAGCTGGGTAACACATGCGCCATGTATATTTTTGCGTAATTACAATGTGGGAAGACACGTAAGAATTAAAATTCTTATCCTGAAGACGTTTCAGATTAACTTCTGCGCGAGAAAGCACGAGACTGCTCTATAAAAGGCATAGCCAGTGCAATCTGTTCGCTGTCGATATCGAAAATTTAGTTTCACAAGTTTCGGCACGATTCATGAACGAAATGACGACGGGTTCTATAAAGGCTGACTCCTGATTAAGTATCGTATATTATAGCGGACACAAATATGCCGGTTAAAATTAAATCCGACGCGGAGAGACGCGTAATTTTTTTTGACGAGGAAGCACGCGAAAAGGAGGATACGGCTCTCGAATTCGTTCGAATTAATGAATAAAGCATGAGAGTTATGGTGGTGCGTACGTGCCCCTATCCTCGGCCGGGTCCTCCCGCTGCCCCCCGGAGATCGCATGGACGCACGGTCCCCTACCGGTCAGTGCCGCGGTTTTTTTCCCTCTCACTCGCCGCGACAGTAGAGAGATTACTTCATCCGTATCGAGTCGTATTATCGAGAGTCGATTTCTGGGAAGCTAGCGGTACCGGCCTCTCTGCCCGTCGCCGTCGCCGCCGCCGCCGCCAGCTCGCCAAATCAACTCTAGAGACGAGGCGCATAACGGGAAAGCCCTCTTCTCCGTTTACGAGTCATGGCCGGAAGCTTGCCGCCGCTGTCGTCGTCGTCCTCCTTCTCCTCATCGTCGTTGTCGCCGTCGTTGCCATCATCGTCAGGACGATTTTTCATTTCGCTTTCGTACGCGATCCCTCTCGTAGCGGAGGCATCTGTTTGAAGCACGCGTTACTTCCCGTCATTTCTATACGTGAGAATATGCGATGGAACTAGCAGCAACTTAGGAAGAAGGAAACGGCAATTTAGAAGCTTTCGATAATTTAACAATTTCGAGTCCCTCACTTCTCCGCATTCTCAATTTTCTCTCCCGGCTGCATAACGTTTGTCTTACAATTACTTACAAATAATTAAGACAAATATGAATAAACGCGATAATATTCATATTTTTACTTGATATACGTTTTATACAATGTGTTATTAAAGCTCCAGGTAGAAATTTTGTCGGGAAACAATCA